TGTCCCAGAGCAGAGCCTGGAGCTGCCCCTCGGGAGGAGCTGCAGCCCCGGGGAGCTCTGCCCTCAGTCTGAACCATCCCAGTGCCCCCAGTCTGCTCCATCTGAGCCATCCCAGTGCCCCCAGTCTGCTCCAGCTGAACCATCCCAGTGCCCCCAGTCTGCTCCATCTGATCCATCCCAGTGCCCCCAGTCTGAACCATCTGATCCATCCCAGTGCCCCCAGTCTGCTCCAGCTGAGCCATCCCAGTGCCCCCAGTCTGCTCCTCATGGGCCCCTCCAGACCCTTCCCCATCCCTGTGCCCCTCCTTTGGACACTCTCTCACACCTTTGGATCTTTTTGTTACTGAGGTGCCCAAAACTCCCCCAGCACTGGAGATGAGGCCACACCAGCCCCGAGCAGAGCTGGACAATGCCAGCACTGCTGGGCCTGAGGCATCCCTGGGACAAAACCTGGAGGAAACCTGGGGAAAAGGGACTGATGTGGTGTCTGCTGGACACCTCTGCACGAGGGACATGGCCAGAGAGCTCAGAGCTGGGGGACAGACAGACAAAGAGCTCCTCCTGAAGCCCAGGAATGTCCTGGCTCTGCTTCAGGGCCACACTCTGCACACAGGCTTTGGGAAGGGTTGGGGTTGTGCTGGAAAAGGCCATGGCTGAGCCCCTTCTCCCAAAATCCACCCACTGTCTCCTGACTGGGAGCACCTCACCCCTGCAGACCCCCCAGGTGTGTCAGAGCCCAGTGTCACTGCCACAAATCCTGCTTTCACATTCTATGTTCTCCTCCCTGCACTGCACAGCCTGAGCAAGCCCTAGGACCAGAGTTAAAGCATAAAACAATTTAATATGGGCTGCAGACCAGCTGAGAGAGGTAAAAATAACCAGCTTTGGGGTTATCATGTGGGCTTTTGTTTGGATCTAGAAAACAGCTAATTCAATGTGCTGAGGATTGGTGGGAGGAAGGGCAGAGGTAAAGAAAACCAGGCAAAGCAACTGCCTCAACTTCACAACAAAACCTCAACAAAACCTCATTATTTTAATCCTCCACGTCATTAAACCCAGGCCTACAGCTTAAACATTAAACCTGTGGCTCTACAGCTTCACAGTTTATTATACCAAAGTCCAAGGGGCTGGGGTTCACCTGTGCCAGATCCCACCACACCCAAATCCTGGGGGAGGGAATTTAAACTTACACTCACTGCAGGTGAAGAACAAAGCACTCATCAGTCAGGCCACTGCTGCTTTATGCAAATTCCTGAGCGTCCACACTCTGCCAGAAGGATTTTGGGGTAGTTTCAAGGGCAGCCTGAGTGCTGAGCACTTGCTGGAATCTGCATGAGCAAGCAGCCCTTCAGCCTCATCCTCCAAAATGCAGCATTCAGGGGATGGTCAGAGCTAACCTGTTCTCCTTTCTGCAGAAAATGAATATTCCTGGGGCTGGGCACTGCTCACCAGCTCATTTTGAGCAGAATTAATATTCCCAGGAATGGTCAGTGCTAACCAGTTCACTTTTAGCAGAATTAACACCCTTGTTACGGTAACCAGTTGAATTAATAATTCATATTCTTGGTGATAACCAGTTCGATTTTTCTGCAGAACTAATATTCCTGTGGCTGAGCAGTGCTCACCAATCCTCTTTTCTGAAGAATTCCTGAACTGTGAATTCCTGTGATGGCTCTGTAGAGGTGCAGCGAGCTCCTGGATCCTCCCTGGAACATTCTCCTTATGCACCAAGCACGTCCCTCTCCCCGGACCTCTTCCCACCCTGCCAAGGCTCACCTTGAAGGACTGCACGAATGTCCAGAGCAGGATTCGGATGGTGTAGCCCTGGCGCAGGAGCTTGATGAGCCTGGCTGCCCTGAAGAGCCTCAGGAAGCTGAGGTTGATGAAGTTGTCCTGTGGAAAGTAAAGGTTTTGTGTCCTTCAGAAACGACCGCGATCCGAAACCACAGCCCGCAAAAAAGAAATTAAAATTACCAGCTTCACGATCTAAGCAGCAAATCGGCCACCAGAAAACCTTCCAAAAGAAACATTCGTCAGTGCAGATCACTCCACATGCAGCAAGAATGAGAAAACCCCTCTCCACAAGAGCCCTCCCCTCTGCTACTGGGTCAATGAGAGAAAAGGAAAAGGCCCTGTCACGCTGTCCTTGGAGGGCTGATTTGCTTTGAGCAAGGCAGATTTTCTCCCCCTCAAGACTCAGGGAGAGGGGGATGGTGCCACATTTTCATTTTGAAAAAGAAATGAGCTTGGTTGAAAGTCTTGGTCAGCTCAGTTTTGACAGGGAATTGAACTTAGGCCAAGACACTTGCAAGGGAAAAAGAAAGGCATTGTCCAGTGAAGATTCAAACATCCTGGGAAGAATGAGGATGTTTTCCAACCTGGAGGTTTTCAGTGTTTGTACAGAGTGGAACTGGACAGGTTTGCCAAGGAGAAATGGCACCAGAAGATTCTTTGGAAGATGGATCAAGGGCAGCGAGTCAATTGGGGAGGTTGAGCTTTCACCAGCAGGGAGATGCCTTAGGAACCTGCTGGTTTTCCAAATTCTCATTAAATGTGTCTGCACAAGTGGATCAAAGAACTGCAGCAGGCAGGTTCTGATTTCCATTTGTTTTCTAGGATTTTCCCCACCCTTCACCCCATTTTTTTTTTTTTCTTCGGGGAAAAGAGGATTCTTGCCCCAATGAGCTAATCTAGAGAGGGTTCTTTCCAAAACAAAACATGCAAAAGCCAGATCCCTCTTGCCCTCCTATTTTAAGGAGATAAAAAAATATTCCCCCTTTCCATAATTCACTTTTTTGTGGATCTCTGATCACAGCCACTTATTTGACTGAGAGAGCTAAAGAGAGAAAACATCCCACTTTAAACTGTTGAGCAGTGAAGCAGCAAATATAATCATAAGGAGCTCTGCTTGGTAAAGATGAGCAAAAATTGTATTTCCCTTGGATTATTGTTTTACCAGAAGTCACATTGAACTGACCCACATTGCTTGCTCATTTGGCTACAGAGCTCATGCTGAAATTGGGGGGCTTGTTGGATCTATGGATTCTTTCAATGCCAGCTCAGTTTTGGGGCCATTAGCATTGCATTCCACCAATCCCATCAAAGAGTTCCAGAACTCAGTCTCAGGCATGCACTCGGTTTCTCTCAGGTTAAAAACACAAGCAGCTCAGAGTTAGGCACAGACCGAAAATCAGACTCGATCTTCAAATAAAGAGAAAAGAGAAAAGCACAGGAATGTTCAATGAAGGAGCAGACAACACTGAGCTCATTCAAGCCAGCAACAGAAGCCATCTCTGGCAGGCAAAGCACGAGCGAGGATTCCCCTGGGTTGGGCAGTAAAACAGGCACTGAAAATGTCCCGTTTGTCTCAGCATCAGCTCCAGGTTTGTTTTCACAGCGCTTACCTTCCCTTCACACCAGTCCAGCTGCACTCACCTGAGCAGGGCAGGGCCAGGTGAGGCCCGTGGGGCAGAGCTGGAACCCAGCTGGGTAATGGGACCATCACTAATGGGGTTCTTCTTCCCCTGGTCCCACTGTGAGCCGGTGCCAGGGCAGAGGTTTAACCACGAGCCCTTTGAATCAGGAAAATCTCCCCAGCAGTGGGAGCTGGATCAGCCCTCGTGTGCAATGCTGGCAGCATTTAGGCCTGAATGCCTGATTTTAACTTCAGAGCAATGCTCAAGCCAGATCTTTCCTGTGCACAATCCTCAGGCTCCATGGAGGAGCAGGGCACAGGATCTGTGGGATCCTGTGGGATCTCCCTCTTCCCACAGAACTGCAGCCCAACAGCAGGAACTTGTCCTGCTCAGGCTTTGCTAAAACCTCACCCTCACAGCTGACAGATGTTAACACCTGCTTTGGGCTGGGCTCCCTGCAAGCTGAGCTACCCCAGTGCTACCCATGGAAAAGGGATAGAAATGGGAAAAGGGTTCAAGACTGTGCAGTTGTGTCTGTGACTCCCCATTCCCTGGGATTTAGATGAACAAACAGCCCATAGATTTTTTTTTTTTTTCCCCCACATTCTCTATTTGACTCTGGCATTGCCACTTCCTTAAGAGCCCTGGCTCCATGTGGAATCACTCCCAACCCAGGAAAATCCCCCATCCCCGACACCCTGGGACTGCTGGAAGGACCATTCTCAGCACTGCCCGGAGAGAGGCAAATTCCCCACCTGGTGGTGGCTGCAAGGGCTCCACGTGTGTGGCACCCTCAGCACCCCACAGAGAAAACCCAACCTCCCACAGCTCAACTCTCCAGGCAGGAATTGGGATGGCATGCAGCCAAAGGGGAAACTCCACATTGCCATATTTCTCAGGTAAAACAGTTTTTTGGCATCAGTTCTCGTCCCACTGAGCCACCTCTGTGCCATTCACACTGGGTTATCAAAGTCACCTTTTCCAAGCTTTTTTTTTTTTCTTTCCTGTTGCACAGATGCTCACGGTGCTCACAACAGGCACCAGAGTTTTAGGATTTTATTGTCCATCTGAGGAGTAACAAATTATTGGAAAATAATTTCCCCCTGGCCTGTCACAATTTTCCTGAAAAAGGAAGGGCTGGTACTGAAGTGACCCAGGCACCAGCCAGGCCCTGGGGGTCTGAGCATGGCCAGGCATTGCCACCACTTCCCACAACAGGAGATGGACAAAGCATTCCTGAAGAAAACTGGGAAGCAGTGGGGAAAGAGGGAGAATAAACTCCACAGGTGAAGAGCTACCCTTGAAGGCTGTCCCACCATGGCAGCCTGCTCTGTTACCTTTTCTTAGGTTGTTTTCAGAGAATCCCAGAATGTTTTGGGTTGGAAGGGACCATAAAGCCCATCCAGTGCCACCCCTGCCATGGCAGGGACCCCTCCCACTGTCCCAGGCTGCTCCAAGCCCCAATGTCCAACCTGGCCTTGGGCACTGCCAGGG